AGGAGCATCGCAGCGCAAATGTCCCGGGAGCAAAGCAAACATGTGGGAGACGCGCCGCCGGTGGTGTGCGAGCGCTCATGATTATCGCTGACCATCTGCCGCTTTGCAGCCGTTCGGCTACCTGAGGCTCTTGATGACTCAACGGGGGCGCGCACATTCGTTGGTTCATGCACAGTCGCAGAGGTAACGGCCGGCATCGGCATAGCGCGACGACATCCGCCGCTCAAGCACAGAAGTGTCCAAAATGTCTTGAAGAATTGGGCTTGAGCCAATCCCCCTTCTCCAGCCACTCATTGATGAAGGCAAAGACGTTTGTCTGGATTAGTGTCTTAAAATCTGGCTGAAAGTGCACGGAACGGCTTGAGCGGTGGATCAACGGAGCGCCAAGCCAATGAGTCGGGCTAATATTTACACACGGAGTAAGCCGGCCTCCGCTTATCTTCACCCATCCCAACGAAACGCCGGACGGATTGCCGGCCAGTCGCGGGACACACATGCAGACAAACCGGCATTCACAACTGTGGACAACAATGGAGGACGCCATTAGCATCGTACGTGGTTAGCATCCCGCTGACATGCATGTCTCTGTAAGCGGGGCGGGGGCGTCCAAATGCCTGGACAACAGAGAGTCCGCAGCCCAGATTTGAACTCAGAACCTCAGCGGACGTGCTCGGCCCTCAGATTCCGCGTGACGGCACGTCCTCTCCGTGGAGCATCTGAGCCGCGCGCGCACAGTGCGTGAAAACAACACGTGGTACGTAAGGAATGTCTCTCGAGAAATGACTGCCGGTCATCTGCCCGCGCGCATATGAAACCGCGTAGAATTGTGAGCAAAGCCGATGCTGCTCGCTAGGCAAAAGTCAAACACGTGGAGTCGCAAGCGCCTCTCTGTCAGTGGCGAGCGAGTATTTGCTACCTTGGCTCTGTTTCGTCATGCCTTCGTTCCTTATCATAGAAACGATCAATACTCCATAAAGGTGCAATTTAAATGGCTCCACAATCAAGTACAAAAAAAATAAAAAAATCGCATTCATGTTGGCAGATGTCTACAGTGTTTTGCTCGTCAAACTAGGCGGCTCTGTTGTTTTGTCACGCCTTCGTTCCTTATCATAGAAACGATGAATACTCCATAAAGGTGCAATCTGAATGGCTCCACAATCAAGTAAAAAAAAAATTTTAAAAATCGCATTCATGTTGGCAGATGTCTACAGTGTTTTGCTCGTCAAACTAGGCTGCAACAAGTCCCGCTGTGGGAAAAAAAAATGGAATCTGTTTGCTGAAATCCAATCCATGGCCCGCCTTCCATTTTTCAGCGGCCCGCGGCATGACACCCCTCCCCGCCCCCAAAAAAGTGACATTTGACATGGGCCGCAAGGTTCGTTCAAAACGGCTGCAACAAGTCCCGCTGTGAGAAAAAAAAAAAAAGTAAATAAAAAAATTGGAATCTTCCATTTTTCAGCGGCCCGCGGCATGACACCCCTCCCCACCCCCAAAAAAGTGACATTTGACAAGGGCCGCAAGGTTCGTTCAAAAAGGTGAAGGTGGCCAGGGTGAGAAGGGAGGCTGGACTGCAGCAATATCTTTCCACATTCAAAGACACAAAGAAATGATGACAAGAATCACACAATTGATCGTCAAAACACATCAAGATCATTCATATTTGAGGGGCAAACATCATGTCTTGCACTTGGAAATGAGCTGGACAAAATCGCTTTCTTGACTGACTTGAGAGCGAATTTGAAAGTGGCCCTTTCATGCTTCCATTTTCCGAAGGCAGCCCAGCAAGGAAAAAGTTTGGACGCTTCAAGAAAGAGTCCCATTGCAAAGTTTCAATGATACGGTAGAGCACCGCAGATCGTGAAGGGCCTCTGCGGATGAGATTAACGTGGCCACACGAGGAGGCTGGAATCTGAGCGCACGGCAAAATCGACCATCCACCCATGTCCTAGAAACGGCCCCCCCGTGAAGAGAAAGGCGACAAAACCACGATGATCACCGAGTGCCGGGAATTGACTTCATCAGAATCGAGGCTGTCGATGTAGGTCAGCGCTTGCGATAACGCGTCGCCCGGCGAAGAAGGCCGTCGCCGGGCGGTCAGGCCCGGCGACGGCCCCGACGCCGCAAGGAGGGCAGTGGAGCAGAATGATGGCCTTGGGCCTCGGCAGGGTTGAGGGCGGCCCGGGGGCGCTGACTGGCATGAGATCCAGAGCCAGCGCCACACACGCACACACGCACGCACACAAAAAGACACATGAAGCGAGAGATGCTTGCCTGGACTTGGAGCTGAGCTCCAGAAGGGGGGATGGGGAGGGGCACGTGGCCGCAAAAACAAGAAAAGCCACTTTACTGTACGTGTCCGGCAAAAGTAGGTCAGCGTTCCACGCTGGCAAAATGGAGCTCTCGAGATACGAGCGCAAGACGGCGGCAGCAAACTCGGCTCGCTTCCAAAGCGGCTGCCGTTTGGGCCTTCGTCAACCGCGCTTTCGACTCATTTCTTGGCAACGTGAGTCGGAGGTTGCTGGTAAACTAAAGACAAAACAAAAAGACACGGCGCCTCCGAGAGGCACTCGCAGCGTCACGGGACGCTCGAGCGCGGCAAAAACGCTTTCGCTTCTGACCGCCAACGGACTCGAGAGAGCGTGAACCCCGCAAAGAACGTGCGCGGCTCCACCGAGGAGCAGCGACGTCTCATTTGCTACCTCAGCAAAAGGCGAGCTAGCTCCGCTCATGCTCGCTGTCGCCGACCGTATGCTCCTTGAGAGTGTGACACACTTGCATACAGAGCAAGGGCTTGTTTTGAAGGCGAGCGAGGACAGTTTACATAACGGCATCTCGCGGATGCTATTAAAATAGCCCGGGGTGCACGCTCTGCACGGTCCGAGAGCTTCCAAGCAAAAGGAAACCGCAGCTTGTAAAAGTCAGCGGGGGGTCCACCCATCTGTAGAAACGGCACGGACAAAATTGACGTCTCCTGGGGATCGTACCAGAGCTGGAACACAAGTCTTGCTGTCTGATGACCATTTTAGATGTCATCCCAGAACAGAGGCCCGCCACACTCTGATTGGCCCCTCGGTCCATCATTTGCAACAAAAAAGGGAACAATCATGCCCTCTCACATTCATCAACCTCATCTGGAAGCCCGGGACGATCTGAACCGACCCGATCTTGCCATTTCTGTTGCCTGAACAACACGGCAAGAACAGAAGAGAACAATGCCGACGTTGAGCTTGAGCGCCAAAGACCCGAGAGAAAATTTGCCTCCGAGTGTTGTCGGTTGCTCTGCGCGCGTTGTTGCGCCGCGTGCGGTAAAGGGGCACTTGGTTGAAGGGGCATTCTTGCCGCAGCGTCCACGCTCATTTCCCTGAGCCTGTCTGTGGCGTTTCGCATTCGATGTTAGCAACGAGGCGGAAGTCGGCCGCGTGAGCTGGCCGGCCGTCTCTCCCGCTGCGTCCTCTCACGCCTGCCTCCCTTCTCCATTCCGCTGCGCTGCGCTGCCACGTCCTCCGGCGTCCAGCGTTGCTGCGCACAGGCTATTGGTCAAGTGTGTGATTACATGACACACGACACGGACGTGGGCCCCGGCCTGGGATAGCGGGAGAGATGCTGACACAGCACACCTGATGCACCTTCAATCTCACTGACTCACCAGTGCACCAGGCCGAAGAGGGAAAAAAAACGCCGGCCCGCTTACTCGTTCCATTTAGAAACACTTCAACACACATTTGCGTCTTGAAGTGCACTCGTTGAACAAGGCGATGGGCGAGCGTGATATGACGAGAGGTCACGCCTCTACCTCGATGGCAAACGGTGGCTCCGGCCATCGTTTGCCAAAAAGAGAAATCAGCAAAAACAATCAGCAAAGGTGTCAGCCCTGAAAAAGAATTGAAAAAACATTGTGCCCGTTTGACAAGACCTGATATCCGCCGATGAAACTGGCTGGCGCGGGCGGACGGATCTGGTTTTCAAAATTAAACTTCTGTTCGACTCCAGTGATCTGCCGATGAAATCGGCCAGTTGATTGATGTATACGGTGGAGCGGGCGGACGGATCTGTTTTTCAAAATTAAACTTCTGTTCGACTCCAGTGATCAGCTAAATAGTTTTGGGGTTTTTTTTCAGTCTTTCGCAAATTTCGAGTCTTCGTTGAGCTTAAGTCCACACTTTGGGGGCATGGGAGAAAGCCAGAACAACAAGAAAGCGACCTGACTACGGCTGCGATGTCACTCTGTCAACCACGCCCCTTCAAGGCACACATCCGACACCCACATACAACAGTGCACACAGGGATCCACTTCTCTCTTTTACCAGCATGACACACACGTCAGCATCCCTCCAACACACACTTGCCCTCTTATGCGTGAGTAACAAACAATAACAATAAAAAGTAAGGGCCAGGCAAACAGCTAGAATGGGGGGAAAAAAAACTGCGGTGCGTTGAGCAAGTCGCTGTAATAAACGTCGAGCCACACCGAGCGAGCGCTCCGAAAGGGGTCGAATGCCGAAGTGCATTCAAACCAAATCCAAAACGTCGTTTTGTACTGCGGCTTCCTGCACTTCGGTGACCGAGTGACGCAGGACGAACGCGACCTTCAGGAAACCTGACGTCCCACGCATGCACGCAGGTCGCGGGGGCGTGAGGGGGTGGTTCCCCTCCAAACAGCTGACTGCGTCATGAAAACATTGCGCCATCATCTTCGCGTCGGCTATAAACGCGCACGCCGGCTTGCCCGATGCACGCTCAGGTTGGCGCTTCGGATGCGGCGAGTTTTGCGGAGCGCGAGCAGGCCGCGTGGGGGGCGATGCGCCTCCCACACGCGCGCTGCCTATGCGGTAACGCGTTCTCTCTCTCGCGCGCGCGCGCGCCCGCCCACGCGCCCCGACGACCTTCGCGCTTCGACGAAGGCGCCGACGCGAATGAGACTTGATGAAACGGCAACTTGGGAGCAGGCGGGGCGGCGCGGCGCTGCGGAACGGCGCGCGCGCGAGCATCGCGCTTCTTACCTTCCCACCGTTTGGTTGGCGAGCTGCCTCATCCGATTGAACTGCTTCTTCATCTTGAACGGAGCCGCGATCAGCGCCGAGCGGCCCGCATCGCTGCGACGGAACGACGCCGCTTCAAAGAAGAGGGAAAGAAGAAGGAACGGAAAAGGCAAAACCTGCGACGAAAACGCGAGCCGTTCTCAAGAGGCGCAGCGGCAACCCAAATCCAAGCGTCTCGGTTTTACAGTCCCCGTCGCCTCCTGCGCCCGCCCCCGAAAACGCGCGCTCCGCGGTTCCATGTTGGCCCGAAAAGCACCGCGGGGGTGAGTCGAGCTCGCACGCCGGCTGGCCGCAAAAGGATGCCGTGACGGAGCTGCTCTCTCTCTCTCTCTCTCTTTCTCTCTCTTGCTCTCTCTCTCGCTCTCCCTCTCGCACATACACACACACGCGCACGCACGCACTCGCACACACGCAAAGGCAAGCAGAAAGAGAAAGCAAGCAGGAGCGGCTGCGCGCCAATGCATTGTGGGAGGTGGAGTCCGGCCGACATCCCGGCAAACTTTTACGCTCAAGGCACCGCGTTACTTGTAAATCGCCCCCCACACAACAACCTCAACAGATGATGTTGAGGGTGTCCCACCCCGCGCCCGAAGACGGCTGGGATTTCGGCTCCAGCACCCCCGCGACCCTCCTGAGGATAAAACGGATGAGAAAATGGACGGCTGGATGGATATTGGCAGACGCGCATGCGGCGGAGTCGTTATTTGGGGTTCATTTCGAGACGGACCTGACCCCGTGCGCTCATTTCGACACGCCCGTTTCGAAAGCGAATATTGCCATCTAGCGTATTTCGCCTGTCGCTGCAACCGCATTGAACACTACCGCTGATTCGGTTCAGCACTGAAACTGACAGCTCAAATCGGTCACGTGATCAAGCGTCGCGACGCCAGTCGGCGAGCACCGAGCGCATTCCGGCGTTTGCTTGCTTTGAGCGCAACTGTCCACAAGAGGGCGCTGTTGTCTCGGTGGAACTCTGCTTGTTTTTCAATCCACCGCGCCAGACGACGTGATGATGAAGACGGGCTCTTTTTCGATTGGTTTAGTCCTCCTTTCCTTGTGGTGACTCACAAGTTTGTCACAAAACGTTGCTTGGCTGACTTTTGTCCTCTGACTTGTGAACAAAACTGGGAGAAATGAGCACTCGACGCAAGTGACTTCGCGCAACGACAGGCGGCAGTTTGGCAGACAACTTTTCGAACAAGAGGTTTGGAGACCTTTAGTGCCACTCCCAGTGGAAGTTTACTGCAAACAACAACAACGACTATTACGCCGGTTTACTGGGCCGGTGTGACGTCTCAATTTACGGTACTGTATCTTCGGAGCTCAGCCTGACACTGCCCCCCCCCCCCGCCCCCGGCGCCCAATGCGTGCACATTAGAAGCGGCAGCACAATGTCTCCTGAATTCAAAAATGATGCGGAAAACCCAAAAAAGGAACATTCTTTACATTAAATTTAGGTGGTGGACACTTGAATGGGCACAATATTGCAGCGGGCTATTTTTGATTAAAGAAAAAAAAAACACGACAAAAATTGGGGTTGTGCTTTTAGGGGAATCTCCAATGGATGAATAGCGTTTCAATGTATTTTAATGGGGAAAGATGATCGGAGTTGGAATGAATGAAGCGTACAACTACTACGAACGAAATCCAATGCAGCTTTGCTCGGTGTTCAGCTTGAACACTCGTGTTGACGATATATAAATACACATGCATATATATACAGACACACATACATATTTCATTCCGTTCCTGTTTCAAATTGCGCTCACTGAAAACAAAAGCTTCCCCATGAAAGCACGTTTGTGTCCCTGATGATGGCTTCTCGTTCCCACGACAGCCGGTCTAATAAATGTGTCCGCCCTTATGTATTGATGTCATCCAAACCTAGTTACATATTTTCTCAGTGCATGCATTGATTTGTGGCACACCGGGCAGGCTCGGGAGTATGCGCGCTGAGTGTTGTGCACCATCAGGTGCAGCATGCGGGTGTGGGCGTCGCTGTGAAGAGCCACAAAAGCCGCAATTCTCAAACATATGTCCGCACCTGAAAAAGAGATTTGGCTTTTTCATCGCCGTTGACCAACCACAAAGGCGACTTGACTGAGGGGCGGGCTTTTTCAGGTGCGCATCAGCTCTGTGTTTAGCGTCTTAAAAGGCCACGTTGAGACCCATCATTTGACTGCCATTTGATGTCCGTCAAGTGGCCAAGACCTGTAATATGGGCGCCTGTCAGAGGGCCGTGTTTCCATTAGGCCCGTTTCGCCGGGCCTCGTCACGTTTCCAAATAAGCTGCGAAAGACGCCCCGAGCGCTCTGGCCCCGGTGCGACACGGGCGCTCAACTCAACGGCTGCCATCGGGCGCTTGGAGCTCGCAGTCGCAACGAAAGTAGAAGATTGGATCTCATGACACCGTGCGGGTGTCGAGATGGAAAAAGACTGTTGGTTGGACCACTTTTGCCCCCACCCTCCTTTCGCAAAAGCCTTGGAGAGCATTTGATCTGGCTCAGCGTTGACAATTACTCTCGCTGCGATTTTGCACCTGCGACAAGCTCATCCCAAAGCTCGGGTCCTTGAAGATGAGCACGGGAAGTGTGCACGCAGCTCATCTTGACAACCGGTCCAAGTAGCAATGGGGCAAAGACTCTCTGTGACGACCCGGGCTAAACTCAGCCTCTCCTTGACATGCAAAGATCTTGCCCTCTCAATCAGGACGCATGGCTTCAACATACTTCCTTGGCACCAGTTGCCGCTCTCTGCGCGCTTCCAGAGACAAACAACTGTCAACGGATCAATTGGTGAACGGCGCACCCCAAAATGGCAGGGGGTGACTGTAGCGACTACCGTCTCCTTTTATCGAGTACATTTCCGTATGTTGCAGCGCCAAGTCCTTAGTGGCGTGCTTCCAAACGCCACCTAATTGTTATTTCAGAGGCCGAGCCCAAAGCAATAATCATCCTCTCATCCCGATGACTCGGCGGCGGAGGAATGCAGGAAGCGCCCGCCGAGTGTAGATGACTGAGCGAGCTCGCTTCCCTCAACCCGGCGCTGAACTCCGTCGAGAGCCGCCGGCAGCCTGTCATTTGGCCAAAACGTGCCTCTTATCGCGTTGGTCTTCTCGCTTCCCCGGGCGCCCCCGCGCCCCGCTCGTAAAACAAGGTTGACTTCACTTCTGCCAGTCAGGGCACACATGCAACACACTCGACAACTGATCGGGACCGCGGTAAACAATCCTTACTGGCAGAATATGAAGCCATTCTGTGAGGGAAATTCTTTGGGGGGGGTGGCGTAAAATAAAGCTAGTTTGACTTCGGTTCAGTTTTCAGTTGCATCCTGCCAGACTGAGGCCCCGTTGAGAGACGAGGCCCCGGGCACCGGGACCACACAGGCCCTCACCGAGGCTCGACGGCAGACAAGGGCCTCAGCCAAGGTCGTGGCGAGCGTCAAGTGCAAAAGCGCACCGCGGGTGGCGGCCGCTGTGAAAAAGTAGGACCTGTTGGAGCAGATAAGCTTCATCCGCACGTAGGACTTGAAACGCAATGAAAATTTCCCATCGCCAATCACGATGACCGCGACCAAATAATTGCTGGCATCTAACTTAGCCGAAAAGATGTTTGTAGGTGACGGGGAGAAATTGGGCCTTACTCAAACCGACACCAAGATGACGAGAGCCGAGACGCGTGTCCGGCAACTGCCGCCTTGGGCCTAAGCGGGCCTTACTA